CGCAGCCCTGATTTCCCGGTGAGGAGGAGGAGGAGGAGGGTGGCGTCGGCCCTGGGGCAGGGAGACAGCCAGCAGCCCGGCGGGACGCCCCTCATGCAGCGCCCGGTGGGGTACCGAGGTCGGTGTGAGGGTTTCGTGGCTTCGGGAAAGGGGAGTAACGCCGCTGTTCTCTTCTCAGGAGTGCCGGATCGCCCACCCCATCGTGAAATGCACGTACTGCCGGTCGGAGTTAGCAGGAGAGGTACGGGAGGGTGCCGCCTCGCCCTGTGCGTGACCTGCTCAAGTCCTGCCGCGGGCGGTCGGTGGACCTGCAGGAGGAACAGCTGTTCACAGGCATGACCGTGTGTAACGGCACACATCCACACCGATGGAGATACTAAAGGGGGCAGAACCGTAGTAAAATAACCCGCCTGCCTGCTCTGGCGACACGAGCGTGTCATATAAATGCAGTACGACGTTAGATTTGTTCACTTAATTCTTAACTGCTTGTGTTTGCATGTGTGTTTTCCAGTAATTGCATGGGAAAGAATTTCAAGGTGTGTGTTTGTCACTGAATTCAACATTATGCAATTTTATCTTTAGCAAAACTAATACGATATGCAAGAAATGTGCCCAAAACGTGAAGCAGTTTGGAACGGTGAGTAGGCTCTTAGTTCTAAATATTGAAGTTAAGTTCATTCAAGTTTTAATTTAAAAAAAGTTCTCTTGCAACTAATCTTCTTACTTTCTTTTGGGGAAAAAAAAAATTACCTATCAGAAAAGCAATGAAAATTGTTGGCAGCTCTTGATTTCCTTCATGGCTTACAATTTCTTTTTTCAAATTGAAATCCATTGTAGTTACATGTAGTTAACAGTTGCCAACAACTGCAATATACCTATTCATAGCAAAAACAATGCTATTTCACTTTATGCATGTAAAGTTATTCTTCACATGTTCTCATAAGCACACGCTTGATGGCAGAAAGACCGTTAGCTGTCTGTGCTTTTAATGAGTGGTAAATGTAAAAATCTAATAATGCCATATACTTTATGTCACGTAAGTCCTAAAAATTTCAAATGCACGTTAATCTTGTTAAGCTATTTAGTGGAAAAGATTTTATGAGTATTAGCTGTATTCATGTTACTTTGCATTTTCTCATCTTGAATTTCAGCGTTGGTTCTGTTAGAAAAATTAATTTTTTAATATATGAATACCCACATTGTATCTGAGTGCCCTGCAGATACCAGTTTATGGAAGGTATCAAGATAATCTTGTTGTGAAACACAAGTGCATAACTTATATACTTGACATAAACTGTATTAGATTAAATTCAGCGTAGTTGAGAAACATAACAGCTGTTGGTATGTAGTATGTAGTCGGACGTTTTGTGAATATAAATGTAAACTGAACACAGAACATTCTTTCGAAAGCTTAAAGTGTAGCAAAACGAAGTGCAAGACAGATCCAACAATGTTTTTTATCAGTACTTTGTCAAAAAAAGGAACGGCATTGAAGATCATCAGCTATTTCTAACCTATGAAAACTGACAGCAATTTTACTTTCCAGCAGTGTATTATTCTAGTTGAGTGTATGATATAAAAGTTGATAACCTGTCCTGATGGTATCTGAAGAAGTTTCCTGCAGAATTGCAGGGATCAGGATACTAATCTTGGAGCTGTAGGGTTATCAAATCCCTGAGTAACGCAAGGGAGAGGGATGTTTTCAAAAACTTCCAGTCTAAAAAAATTACTTGCTTACTCTTCTTTTAAAGGTTTTTTTAAAAAGTAATTTTTTAGTAATGTAGTAAAACGGAGAGAAAATGTCATCATATTTAGAAAAAATAAAAAAAGAGGCAGGTATAGAGTTGAGCAATCACATTGTATGTGTTTCTTTCATTGACTGTACCTAGATTTCCATGGAAAGTCCAGACTCTTTTTGACCATTGAAGGAGCATCATTTAAGGGGGGGTGAAGTTTAGTACTGAAGATAGAAATGGTAGGAAAAAGGTTCTTTAAGACAGGTTATATGAAGTCTAAGTAGTTTAGAAGCATCATTGTGTGATTTGAAATACCTACGTTCATTACAGAAACTAAATATATTAACTTCAGTTCAACTTTCCTGTCTTTCAGCCCAAGCCTTGTCAGTATTGTAACATTATTGCAGCATTTATTGGCACAAAATGTCAGCGTTGCACCAACTCAGAGAAGAAGTATGGCCCACCTCAGACATGTGAACAGTGCAAACAGCAGTGTGCTTTTGATCGAAAAGAGGAGGGAAGAAGGAAGGTAGGCTTCGTTCTACAACTGTAATGGCTTAGGCTGACAACAGACAACATTCCTCCTTCGTAAGAGAAAGATTAACAGGAATGTATCTTAAGTTCACTAATACTAGATTAAAGTTGCTATGCTGTGCTTTACAGTATTTGAATTAAATTTCACAACTTGCAATTGTTATGTTAGCTACTGAGCTAACGTACTTTAAATTAAATCCCTCTTTTTTTAAAAATAAGCTTAGGTGTAAGCTGACAGTCGTAGCTAGGGAACAGAGGTTGAGCAGCTGAACAGTTCCTGGTGCTTTGATTTATTTTATTTTTTTTTTTAATTTTGCCATCCATTGGATCTTATGTATATCCATAACTTGAATCTGTCACTTTTCCCTCTTCTGATTTGCCTGCCTTGCCTTAAAGTACAGCACCAGAGAGGTAGAATGCTTCGAGCAGCCCTTTGTGTTCTGTTTTCTTAAATAGCTTTGGTGAGTGCCACTTGCTCATTCCAGAAGGTGCTGAGGAAATGACCTCAAATGCTTCTTGACTGAGCCCAAGAATAATGCTGTTTTTACAGAAGAATTACTTGGTACAAGTAACACGTTGGCTGAATGTCTTGATTCTGCCTGGAATACAGTGGGTTGAGAGAGGATACGTGGTGTCTAAACTTAAAATTATTTGTCCCCTTAAAAAGTTATTGTCACTTCTGTGATACAGACAGAGTCCAACATTTGCTAAGACTGCTTCCTAGCATAGCTTTAAATGACAAAAAGAAATTAAATAAGAATCACTTTACTAAAAGATAACATGCATACGTTGGAGATATGGTAGTACTCTTTCATACCAAAGAGATGGCTGGATTTTTCCCAAAGATAACAGATGAAGTGAATCAAATTTTTCTTGCAAATATTGAAGTACATCTTTCTAATGCAAGTAGACTTGGAAAAAAAACCCTGCTATGAATTATTTCCCGAAAGGTTGATGGAAAGTTGTTGTGTTGGCTCTGCACGCTGTCCTACAAGAGGGTGCTACAGAAGACAAAAGAACAGAGGAAGAGCCTAGGATCTTCACATTCTAACTCCTCATCCTCATCCCTTACTGAGAAAGACCAGCATCACTCAAAACACCACCACCATCACCACCATCATCATCGTCACAGCAGCAGTCATCATAAGTAAGTATTTCAAAAACTGAAGTACCTGTTGGTACCTCTTCCTCTTCTGTATTCTGTTAGTACTGAGATCAAAGCAAAGGAAATAAGAAATGCCATTTAAAATGTGGCATCAAAAGCAGTAGCAGAATGTTGTTCTTCCATGGTCTGTCAAAATCCTTGTGTTCTTACAGTTTGGATGAAGGGAGGTCAGCAAAAAGCAGAAATTCTTAGTGACCATCAAACTAGTCAATGTTAAAATTGGTAGCAAGTGTAGAAAAGAAACCCACGGAATGGCTACAGGAACAAATTACTTAGGAATAAACTGGAATATGGCTTTCTAAGCAGTAACTTCTGTGTGATAACTGCTCTTTTACAAGCATTTACCGTGGGTTAAAAGGTGTGTATTAGCAGTGAGCATAGAACAGCTATTTTGCTCAGAATTGCCACCCTAACTTACTTCATCCTGACTTGTTTGTATGCACATACTTGCAGTTAAATGGAGAAGCAGAAGCAACGGTGTGGGATCACCCTCAGTCTAGGACCAGTTTGTACCTCTTTGCTAGTTTTTATAATCAGATCTTGCTGGAATAGGCAGTTGATGAGCGGCTGTGATACAGACATAAGAAAATAACACTGTCAGTTCAGTTACTGGCACTCTGGTAACATTTCACACAGTTTTGTCCCATCTTCTGCAACGTTTCTCAGCATGCCATCTCTGGCCATGGCATACGTAGCGTATCAACCTTAATGTACGTACCCAGTTTGTTTAGTCGTAAGTCCCAGAATTGATTTGGTTTTTATACCAGTATAATAGTAGTTATGATTTTTATTTTTGTTAGTAGCCTTATGGCAGCATAACTTTAGAGCTACTTATTTTATTTTTGTGTTGGATAGTAAGTACTATGGCTGCAATGGTAATGACCCTGACCTCAGACACACAAACTCCTTCATTCTAAGCTTCTCTTTTCTAGTGCTTACAATTTTCCATTTTGACTGAAACTTGCCTGACTAAGCGTGACTTAAAGATAGAAGCAACATGAGCTGGAATGATACTTGGGAATGAGAAGAGAAATGCACATATTTTCACTTAAGAGAAAAATAAAGTTTGGTGGTTTAGGAATTTGAAGAAGAAAATTATTCTTGTCATGCAGAGACTTATCGTACTGTTCCTGTTCTTTCAAATCTCTGCTGAAAATTGAGTAATGACAAGCTAAATCTAATTTAATGCATGTGGCAGAGATACAGTAAGGATTAAATAAAAACAAGTTAGCTCTTTACTACAGAATAGAGCTTTTAATATACTCAAAAGAGTTATAAAAATAAGCATATCTCTATATAGATCACAGTGTTCCTGGTTTGGCACCTTTTTTCTGTAGGCTACCATGGGTCCATTGCTTCTGGTCCAATAAATACGACTTTTTCCCTGTCCATTTCAGTTATTGTTAAGATGAGACAATAGAGACGGTGAGGTAGAAATGCAGATTAAATGAACTATTGCATTCAGTGCAGTCTTTTACATTCTACCATTCCTATATCAATGGTGTTTATTAATTGCTTTTGAAGCTATTGAAAACAAATGTTTAGACCTGAGAAGCAGTTCTTTTCAGGGATCCAAAACTTAACTTTGCACTTATGCCATGACATAAGCACCACTTCAGGCAATGTTTGTATGGCAGTGTGGGAATCCCAGGAATGCTGCTTTAGACCAGCTGGCTGAGTACAAGATTAGCAATATGAAGTTCACAAAAATTGGGAGGTACCAATAAAAAGGTTTAGTCATCAGTCTTGAAGTCTACCCCTTGTATCTTACAACAGTGTAAACGTTTAGCCAAGAAATATTTTTATAGCATCCTGACATAGTAAAGAGTGGTCACAAATATGACAGATAATACCATGGTCCAGCTAAAAATTCTTAATTGTTACCTTTCTTAAGGAAAAAAGGGAGGGGGGACTGTGGATTTTTCTCAAGTACAGATACCATTCACGTAAATTTAGAAATAATGGCATGTTTGGTCAGTTACCAAGTACATTTCACATATTTCAGAATCAGCAGTCTGAGTCCAGAACAAGATCAGGGACTATGGAAACAGAGGTAAATATGATATTATTTATTAATTTCCTTTTAATTTTTCTTGCAGTTTTCATTTAAAGGACTTTATTTTTTCTTGCATTTCTGGCTAGTCTCTAGCATTCCAGCTAGGAGCATGAGTTAGTTCTTTTACATGTACCAAATGGTGATATTAGAGAGTTACATAGTATGAGGCTTTAGGTTTACATTTTGTTTGATTTCAGCCATAAATCCTCTGCAGCTATTCAGAATGAAACTCCAAAGAAAAAACCCAAACTGGAATCCAAGCCATCAAATGGAGATAGGTAAAGTTATATTTTTGTAAAGCTGAGCCATTTGAACCAAATAGAGCACTCTTTTGTGGCCAGTTGCTTATTTTCTTTTTTTTTTCTTTTTTTTTTTTTTTTTTCTGTCTGAAGAATGAGGGAGGTGAAACAATTGTCCAGACAGACAGATTATTGGGTGGCATCTGAGTGCTGTTGGTCAACTATATGACTTTATTAGCAGAAAACTGGCACTGTTTTCCTGCATTTGAGCTGTTTGGGGCAAAAATTAAATAAAGCTTATGTACTAGGCAACAGTTACCAACAAAACAGTATTCCGTGATATTGATGTTTTGTCAATTAGATGCAGGGTTGAACCCACTGCTTTAAGCTGACCTAGTATGTAGAGAAGTCTTTTGGACCTTAATGTGTGAGACTGAATCTTTATTCTGCCTCTGGCCAAACAGTTGAAATAAAAGTAAGAGTGGCTGCTTCAGTCAAAAGGTATTTGTCCCCCTCAAAGCTAATACTTAATTATATTTCTGCAGGTGTATGTAATGTGTGCCATTAGTAAGGTAATTTGCCAGTTGCATCCATTTCTGTCAGGTACATACTTTTTTTGCATTAGTCCTTAAGGATGTTTGTGGAATTATTAATTATCTCATTTTAAATTTAAAAAAGCATACTGTTTTTTTCTATTGATGTCATAAGTAACTATTGTTTTTTATTTTTAGTAGCTCTATAAATCAGTCAGCAGACAGTGGAGGAACTGACAACTTTGTCCTCATAAGTCAGCTGAAAGAAGAAGTAATGTCACTTAAACGTCTTCTGCAGCAAAGAGATCAGACTATTTTAGAAAAAGATAAAAAGGTAAAAGTTGCACCTGATTAATAAGAACTTTATAATTTTGTTTTCTATTTTGTAGACTCCTAACAATGTCAAAATGGTGAGATAAACCAGAAATCAGATACATTTTTTTTACATGGCAGCTGCTCAGATCTTACCATTTAAAGGACAAGTTTGGGACTTTTGTGTCATGAGTATATTTTGGCTCTAAGTCAAAGAGGAATTCATCTTACCTCACATCAGCCATCTAGAAGCTAGCCATCTGCTTCACTGTTACTCAGGCTGTGTGCCACAGGTGATGGATAAAATGCCAGACAGTTGTTTGTGTGTTTTACATATTGTAAACTGAGTCATGGCAAAGATCCCAGATGCCTACACAGGCTGATGGTCATGCAAGGTAAGAGGAGGATTAAGAAACTATCCTGGGTTTAGCGTAGTTTTTGTTTATTTTTAAACTAAAGCAACTATAGCCATAATTAGTAAGTTAGTGTCCAAATTTACATGTACAGTGTATAAAAATTAAGTGTTTTTATTGTAAAAGATTGGTAGCATATGTGTAGTGTAGGTTATCAAGTCTTTGTGGATGATCACAGACTAGAAGAAAAGCTTGGATTAGATGCCTGGCAGTCAATAAAAGTTAAGCGAAATAGGCCCAAATGGCTGCAGTGAAGCTCATACAAGAGGTTCACCCTTCAAACAGCCTAATGACTAATAAGAAAAAAGAAATAACTACAGATACGTACTTTTCTGTGCCTTTCTTAGAGCTTATTTCTCTGCCATCTGATTAACTAGGTGCTGTCTGTAACACTGGCTCTAGAATATCTGTTCAGGATTGAGTAGGTTATGGAATTGTATTAAAAATAAATTTGCTGTATGATCAAGTAAAATTTTGATCATAGATGCATGGTGGCCCATCAAAACATTGATGGTTAAGAAAGGCTCGTTGATCCTGAAAGGAAAATGCTTCCACTTCTAAAAACCATAGTTCAGTATCTTCATTTCCACGCTTAAATGTATTGTGTAAAGGATATTGAACCTTTTTTTGTTTATATCACTGTTACAATATACCTAATGTTGGAAGTACTTGCTATTTCAGGCCTTTAAGTGGTTAATGTGAAAGAGCTGAACAGTCTGTCGTGGATTCTCTATTAGATATTTTCTTCAAAGGACAGACGTTAAGGCCCTGATCTCTCTCTTACAAAGCCAGTAGAAGATCATGATTCAGGAGGAAATTCACTTCTCTCTTTTTTGTATTTGATCTACCGGTCAAAGCTAAAAAAAGGGTTAGGTAAGGAAATGTCACCTACTTCTGCATAACCACTGCAGTAACTTGTTTTGTGCTGTTTCCATAGGGAGAGCATCTAATAATTTTAATATTCCCCTCCTAAAACTATTTATTTGACCTCAGAGTTCTTTGAACTTAAAGACTCCTTCAAGCATGAATTACTTTCAGAATGTCACTTACTTTCTTCAGCTGCTGCGTGGGGAAGAAAAGCTGAACGCATCATACAGTGTTTGCATAGCTGAAAAATTTAAAACAGATCAATGCACTGCAGATATTTTTTTTTCACTGTGAGATAGTAAATGTAAAGACATGTACCGGGCTAAAAACCTGAGCCAGACCTGTGGGAAACTCCTTTTAAGGTCTTGTCCCAAGATTTGTGTGAGGAGAGCATTTGAACAGTTTGGAGTGCTCCAAAAGAAGAACCTCTGAAATGTATAACGTATGGCAACAGAAACAACTCAGTACACCAGCTTTACAGACAATCCTCCTTCATCATTTTTTTGTTATGAGTCAAGATCTCAACTATGTCGTTACCAGTGCTTATTGTTTGTAGTACTAGCCTTGTTACACTTTCTGGACAAAATGTTAGTGAGACACTAAGACATTTCCATGGAGCCCTGAGACTTGATCATTAGGAGTGGACCGCAATTTGCTGAATGTTCACAGGTAGTGTGTTTGCTCACCTAGTTGCATACTTTACTATGGTGCAATACTACCACTAGTTTTTTGGTATTTAGTTTGTGGTATGTGGTTTTGTAGTGGATCCCCTGGAATTTACAACAGCTCTAAGTACATACCTTGAGCAGCAGTCTGTGTACAGTGAGGTATATATCCATGTGTCGAGATACCTGCATTTTATTTAGGACCATTTGAGTGACAGCTCCTTTGAATACCTTGTTTCACTACACGTGATTTGACACATACTAAAATTGGTAATAGCAGTCTTGGTAGTCATTTTAGGAATGTGTGCTCTGGTTTGTGATAGTAAGCTGCTTTGCTAGTAAAGAGGCTTTATTTCCTGATAAATCCAAATTGACCAGAGAGATTCAAAATAGTCAGGTGAATCTGTGATGTTTTGAGGAACTAAACTTTCTAAAGAAGTGGTTCCTAAAACTTCTGGACCCACATACAATAAACTGTTAATAGTTCATCCAGCTGCACGTGCTTCCAGAAGAAGCATTCAGCTGCTTGCATAGAAGCATATATCACAATTTAGAAACACCTGCCTTAGTGCATGTCATCTGGATCTCTGCCTGTCTCAGGAGAGACCCACTGGCAGCAGTGCTCCGCTATACACTCAGATTAAATCATAAGTTAAGTCATTTTAATTGCACATTTCTAATAACACAATTTAATACACTGTTGTGGATCTAAAGCAGTGAAACTCTGGAATGTGTACTTCTATTTAGGACAAATTGTAGCATAGAAGGACACAAAGCAATCCTTTCTGTTGTCTTTATATGGAAGATTTTTCATGTGTTACCATACCATGTAACTGAAGATTGTGGTAAGTATCTCACAGCTGAAAGAACAGCTAAGATTATAAATCATTAGTCTCATATTTTTTTGTTAAGGATTAACCTTCTTCATACCAAATCCTGAGCAAACAGTATGGTCATATAAGTACAGTTGATTTCTTCATATAAAATAGACATACTTACTTTTCACGCTGCTTCTCAAGTGGTGAGCTGTCAGTACTACAACAGTAAATACATACAGTGTTTCCTGAGATTCCAGAGACTTCCATAAAGGTTTCACAGATTGATTGGAAGATGTATACTGTAGCAGTCCAAGGAATCTTCATAGAATTTTGTGTTTTCAGTTGACAGAACTGAAGGCAGACTTCCAGTACCAGGAGTCTAACTTGAGGACAAAGATGAACAGTATGGAGAAAGCTCACAAGGAAACTGTGGAACAGTTGCAGGTGAGTAATTGCTTATCAATACTTGACAAATACTTCAGATGGAATTATGTATTCAGGCTGTTCACTCACAAGAATGGGATAGTACCAAGTTCTTGAACGGTCATTACCACATTTAACTTCAGATGTGTTGTACAGCAGTTCTGCAGTCAAGAGACAATCTCCATATGAATTAAATTCACTGTAAGAATTGCTTTCTAACTTTAAGAGATAGAGGCTTACTTCACATGCTCTCTCAAAGGTTATGTTATTTTTTGTGTCTGTTCTCTGATATTTAATCATTGTCAGTGTGCTATTGATCTGATTTAAGGGCTCAGCATTAACACAATTGACAGTTAAATGTCTCTTGTTAAAGCATACTTTATCGCGAAGAAAGCCTGAATTAGTTGCCTTATAAATCACACACTGAACAGATACTCAGTGCAATACTTCAGATACTAAATTTTGCAATACAGGCAATGTGGTTACCTTTTCTGTTAAAGATGAAATATGCATATCAGAAAGCATATACAAATCTTTGAAAAGTGATCATTATCTTCTTTGAATATTCTCAGCATGTACATTTTGAGAATTTGTTTCATAAATGCAATGGGAAATTAGTGCATGACACTACTATCTGAGACATTTCAGTAATTCATAAAACTTTTTTCATCTGTATTGCAGGCCAAAAACAGAGAACTGCTCAAACAGGTTGCAGCATTGTCAAAGGGTAAAAAGTTTGATAAAAGTGGGAGTATACTAACGTCTCCTTGAGGAACTGGTTATTCATGGGGTTTGCTACTCAATGTAAATTTGAGTAATTCTGTGAAGCCCTTAAAATCCTGTGTAGTGGAAAAAAATATTTTTGCACACCAGATTAGTTGGCATGTTTCCTACACATTTTTATAATTAATATGCAGCTTTTTTTTAGTTACTGTTCAGATTGAAATACTTCAACTGGCTTGAAGAATGTTTTTATTTTTTTGATATTGGAAACTTTTTGCCAGCAATAGTATTAAACAATTGCATAGAGAACATTGCAGTGCTCTCTCTAAAAGGACAACATGCAATAACGAACTAGGTGTACTTTTTACAAAGCAGCAACTGAGTCTTTTAAACTACACTGATGTCAGCCAAAAGTTTATGAATCTGCAGTGACACTGAACACTGGTTTCTGGTAACTGTTCTTTTACTTTGTATCAAAATATAAAATTAGAATGGAAATCATGGTGCTCTCAAGTGAAACTAAAAAAAAAAAAAGGCGTATATGTATGTGTAAATACGACTGTAACGGTTATATTCTTAGTTATAACAAGTAATTAGTGTTTTACATTCTTGTGATAGGGATTTACTGAAAGATTATCTATTGTACAGTAACAGAGGCAGTGTGGTTTTTGTAAGATTTACTGTAGATTTTTCTTGCAAGTGCCTTTCTCCAACTGTTTATTTATAGGAATGTTGGTATTTTGTACATAAGGTTTTTATGTTTTAAAATCATGTTTAATAAATGTTTTATGTAAATATAAATGTGTGTACAGAAGAATCTGAAACAAAGATCAAAGTGGCTAGTGCAGTGCTTGAAGCAGCATTAAGAGCTAGCTAATTGATGGACAGTGAGTATTGGCTTTAGATAACCTTTGTAGCTCGTGTCTGTGAGGTGTAGAATTTTGTTAGTGCTGCTCATGCCAAACACTTCCTGAACAAAAAACGGAATGTTTTTTGCCACACTGGAGTTTAGTGGTTTGTTTATGTATTTTTCGCATTTGGCACAGCGCTAATTTTAATTCCATAGCAGACATTGCACTCCCAATGTTATATCCTTAATTAGTGATACACGCTTAAAGTTTTTAAAAAAAATTATTCCCCGTTTTCTGATTTAATGTACATAGTTGTAACTTGTGGTGATTCTTCTTAATGAATTGCAAGATTCTCATCCCCCAGGAAAGATACACAATGAGAAGAGTAGCCAAAACTAATGGTCCTGAAATTAATTAAGGGAGTGGATGTGGTGTCAAAAGGTGAGTTGTTTTAATGTTTTGGGTAGATTTTGACTCTAAATTACATCAGTTTAAGTTTAGCTCTGCTCCTAATGGACATTAGTCATATTCAGAAATTTCTATTACGTATGATTTAGTATACCCCAAGGTCTCTGTTCAGGAAGGTGAGTTACGAATCGGTATAAAGTGAAGTAGACTTGCGTAAGTAAAGGTTTAGTTCAGCTCTGGGTACTGACTGGTAACAGGGTAACTGCTTATATTTCAGTAAGCTTAATTGTGTAGAATTAACTACATACCTTTTAATTAAAGAATTACAATCCAAAGTTCCTTGGCTGTCCACCCATGTACTGAACTATGAACACCTTTTCAGTAGTTCAAACAAGTTCCAGCAGTGACAGACTACTGAATAATCTGAAAAAATCAAACTATCTTGTTTTGTAAGGTATACTTGTATTTTTGTACCCTAAAAATCAGCTTTGTATGTTTATAAATGTTCTTCTTTAAACTTGCTAAACTAGGGTAGAGAATGCTACTATCCTTTGGGGGTGTTGTTATTTTTTTTTACATATACAAATTTATGACTTTCATTAACTCAAAGTTAGTATTTTGATAATATTTTTTTTTCCAGTTGAATGGCAACCCATGTTTGGTGAAATTGGTTTTAAACCACAGAAATGTATAGCAAATTGAAATGTTTGAATTAAGATCACTTAATGATAACTGTTCAAAATGCAGTAAGGACGTTTTAAACGAACAAACTGAAGTTCTATATTAGAAGTAATTGACTTTATAAATCCCATTCTGAAAAATTTTCAGGGGCTTCAGAGTGTTTAGTTCTAACTAAATACCTGCAGGTTTTCTTCCATAATCTCATTTTTAACATGAATTTTTTAAAGTTGTAAACTAGCCAACTGAATCCCAGTCCTGAAAATAGTGTCCTGGAGCTGTAGATTATTGACATAATAAACTGATGTTCTTTAAACGTGGATCTGCGAGGAAATTGTTGTACTGTATTGTGTTTTTTAGCCTGTTTCCAGATGTTGATTAGCATTGACCAGTAATGGCCATTTTGGCTCAAGTTATTTATGTATTTTAAGCCTGTGAATATTGCGGCCCCCTTTTAGAGAGTATGTCTAAATACGCGTTCTGCAGTGAAAGCTATTCAGCTGTCCACATGTATAGACTATTGAAATACTGTACTGGCACACATCTGACCGTTGACATTTTGTACCTTTTCTAAATCCAATGTTTCACAATAAAATCTTGTCAAAACATTAATCTGTCCTCTTAAAATTATTCAGAAATTCATATTTCATGTTAATCCTTCATGCTGTGGCACTCGCTAAAAGTCTGTGGCCAAAAAAAGGCAGAATTTAATATTTGCATTTAGTATTTAGATTTCTGGGAAGATTAGACACCTTGGCCTGTCTACAAATTGTAATGAATTAGAGCTTCAAATTAATTTCTGTCGAGAAAATATTTTGGTTCTCTATGACAGGATTATAACACACAGAAATATGAAGAAAAAAAACCTTTAAGGCTTAACTGAAATCTATTGACATTTAGTAAAGCCTTCAACAGGCTTTTTATATTCTGATTAACATCAGCACTTAGGTTTAAAAGTATTTCAGTCTTAGGCTGTTAACCATGAGGTGGTTCTTCCTTTATGTACATTGTGTACAAGTGAGGTGATTCTGAGATTCGAAGTGACACTGATAATTTCTATGTCTGTTCCCTTTCTTGTGTCAGGAGGAGTTAGGTGCCCAGCCAATGTGCTGCTGGTGGCTCCTAGTGCTTAGAGCATTTGCGCTGCAATTTCTAGATCTCATTTTATATTTTTCTCAGCAATCGATCTTTATCTTTCTGCAATCCAGCAGAATACTTTTCATTTAAGAATTAAAGTTCAGAATGAAAAAACAAAACAAAACAAGAAAACAAAAAAAACCCCACAAAACCACCAAAAAACCCTCCCAAACCAACAAGAGAGTAAGATTCTGTAGCTTTCTGGTCAAGGCAATTATCTAGAAGAGGGGAATCCTTGAGTTTCAGAGCCCTGCTCTTAAAACAGTGTGTATTTTATATTAGGTATAGTAATGAATAATATGCTATTCTAATATTGAATTGTTCTTAGCCTCATTTTAATGCAAATTTGCAATGGCTTTGTTGAAGCTATTTATTTTTAAAGCTAAGAGCAAGTCAAAGCCGCGTGTGGTACCTAGTTTAGATATGGCTTTCATGTGACACATGCAAAACTTGTCTAACTGGCCATGGAATGGATTGACTCCCCAAGAGAGGTTTGCATCATTTGAAGCGGATTTCCTTAAAGAAAATTTAAATTGATATAACCTGTGTATAGGCACTTAGGCAGTTCTTAATGGTCTTCAGAAGCTCTGAATCCGCACTGATTTTTTTTTTGAAAACACTGAAATTTATGAATGCAAACTTTAATCTTAACTGTTTTTAAAATAGAGTAAAAGCTGTTCATGTCATTTTTGTTCCTTCAGATGAGTTACTAAAGCATCAGTTCCGTAGATACATTTTCTGATATATTATGTGCAATTCCTTTAGCTTTCCTCACGGAAAAGGTATTGATACATAAAATGACTTCTGTTGAATCCCATAGGAGAAGTAGAGGGAATCCGGCAAAGGGATTGTTGAGGTGGAAAGAGGAGATGTTTGAGATGCTCCTGGGGAAAGGAGGAGGGTAATGGAGGTATAAGGGCTAATGGGAAAGAGAAACCTCTCAGATACTGTGTTACTTATTTAAGTGATATACTGAAACACATGAGTTGGGTTTTTTTAAGACACGTTATCTGTGTATGTTGCCAAAAATGGCAACTCTTTAAGCTAAAATGCAGCATTGCTTAAGGGAGGTGTTTTGTTTTTTTTTTTTTAAATGATACTAGAGTCCAAATTTGAGAAATGAACAGAACAAACAGCTTGATTAAATTGAAATATAAAGATGTACAATGTAAAGTCCATCTTATAAGCAGTTAATCATGCTGTTTAGGCCTAGAAAAAGTACATAAAACTATAACAGAGTACTGTATGCCATTGCCACAGCTGGGTAACGGTGCAAGTTTCGACATATGGCTTGAACTTTCTGTCTGTTCTTACACATTAGGCAGAAATTGTCCTTGAAGTTATGTCACTCAGCAGCACATCAATCATTGACGTTTTGCCTTGCTTTAACGCAAACAGAAAACAAGTCTGGATTTGCCGGTTTACCTTTAAAAATGTTCGGTATAATATGCTGGCACTGCTCCAATTGACCTTCTTGCTCCGGGCAATTTCTCTTCAGTATCTCTCCTTCTGGTGAGTAAGGGCAATTTTGCATTTTGACCAAAGGGGGTTTCAGTACCGCAGATGCTGATGTGCTAAACACGCCAGGTGAAAGTAGAGATTTGTTTGTAGAGTAGATTTTCCTTCTGCTAAGGCTTTCTGACTCTTGGAGTATTTGGGTAAGTTCATTTTTCATTGTCAATTGGAAAATAGGTATTCCAGCTTGTGAAGAATACTAAAGGCTGAAGATAAACCTGCATCATTTTTGCATACAAAAGGTCAGTCTTGAAGGCAGAAGCAGAAGACTGCCTTTGTAGTGATTTATTTTGATTGCAGAAGGCTTGTGGACAAACAAAAAGAACTTGGACCAACAAATAGGTCAGAGTTGTTTTGGACCACAGCGACCTAATTGCAGGTTGGGTCACAGGAATGTGATGTATTCCTGCCATGGCTTCTGCAGCGTGCTGGTTTTGGCTGGGACAGAGTTAATTTTCTTCACAGTAGCTGGTATGGGGCTGTTTTGGATTTGTGCTGAAAACAGCGCTGATAACAGGGATTTTTTAGTTATTGCTAAAGTCAAGGCCTTTTCTGTCTCTCACCCTCATCCCACCAGTGAGGAGGCTGGGGGTGCCCAAGGAGTTGGGCTGACAGCTGATCCCAATGACCGAAGGGATATCCCATACCATGTGACGTCATGCTCAGCATATACACCTGGGGGAAGAAGAAGGAAGGGAAAACGTTCAGAGTGATGGCGTTTGTCTTCACAAGTAACCGTTACGCGTGATGGAGCCCTGCTCTCCTGGAGATGGCTGAGCACCTGCCTGCCCAGGGGAAGTGGGGAATGAATTCCTTGGTTTGCTTTGTGTGCATGCACAGCTTTTGCTTTCCCTATTAAACTGTCTTTATCTCAACCAGCAGGTTTTCTGACTTTTACTCTTCTGATTCTCTCCCCACTCCCACCTGGGGGGACTGAGCAAGTGGCTGTGTGGGGCTGAGTTGATAGCTGGGCTTAAGCCATGACAGTCCTTTTTGGCATCCATCGTAGGGCTCAAAGGGTTTGAGATAATGACAGATTTGATTGGAATATGCTATATTGAATTTGTAGCTGTTACTGTTATTTAGTTATTAATTGGCAGGCTTCTGTGCTTGCCATGGAGCTCGCTTGCCTTACCGTATATTAGAGTCTACTTGTTTTTGGTGGCTGCTTTTTGATTTCGCTGCTTGCCATACTGCTGATTGTCT